TATGCAAACAGAAAATGAGAAAAAGAAAACCCCTAATCGTGTGATTTATTGAGAAATAAATTGAATAGTAGTCTAAATCTTGTCATTTTTACAAAAGAAAAAAAGGAACCTTTCATTGTCTTTTTATCTTTCCTCATAACGAACGATAATTTCATTTAACTATATGACCAAAAAAAAACTGTCTGGATCAATCAATGAATGTGCAACCTGTCACCATATTCTCAAAGGAAAAAAAATGAACAACAGCTGGTTGGCATAGAGTATCGTTATATAGGTAAAAAAAAAAAAGAAAACTGCAAAACTATCAATTTACCGTTAGAAGTTAATCGCAGTTTCTCTAACCTTCACAAAACAAATTTATACACACATAAAAGACTAGTCTTACGATAAGCCTTACTCGACGGCATGACTGTCATTATGTCTGTTGTTTGTAAAGAAATAATCATTTTATCATTATATATTTTTTCTTTCACGGACACTAAAGAAAACAGAGAGGTAAAATCTAACTAGAGTCAGTGGCTTAAAAACATACAAAACAAAGAAAGAAAGAAAAATGCATCTATGCGTTCGTTATTATTCTCAATATATACTCGAAAATCAAAATTAACGAATATATGTTATCTGGTTTCGATCAACGATTAATCCTTAGATATACAACACGTGTGTACATAAATCATGTATTTTAATACAATTCTTAGTTAGATTTGGAATCAAACAAAACGTACGCGATTAACAAACATTTAGAATTATAAAGAAAAAAATGCTTTGATTCTATTATATAATTTTCAAAAATAATACTCTTTAAATGTGTTTCAAAATATTTTTTGAACTAATTTTTGTCATCGAAATGTTGTTTGATTTGTTTTTCTTTATGATTATTCTACCTTGAATTTTAATTATATTTTTATTCTTAGAAAGAACAAGAAACAAGGATCATTTCCTGTTGATTAAATATTGATTGTCCATGATAAGACTTTTCCCTTGAACTTTTATATGAATAAAATATTTTATATAGAAACATTAAAAAGAAAGTATAATTCTTCTTATGTTCATTCGCTATATCACAATCAGTGATAATCAAAAGATCAGGTAAGTCTAAAATAATGAAAAACAATAATTTTCTAAAAAGGAAAAAAGATCTGTTGGTTTTTTGGTTAATACCACTTCATATTTTATTTCATTTTATTCTCAAAATCTCTCACCTTGTTGTATGATGGCTGTTTTTTTTGCTCGTTTACGCTTATAATTCTTCATTTAAACAAGCTACCAATAGTAACGACAAATGAGCAATAAAAAAGAATAGATTTATATTTTTTATCTGAGTATTAATATGCAATGTCGTAATTTTTGTTATTCAACAAAAATGAACAAGCAATAGGTAAAAAGTAATAGTGAGAGATTTTGTTGTTGTTCTCTTTCATTTGCTCGCTTATGCTGTATCACTCATCATATTGAATCATGAGCAACGTCGAAATGGACGCTAGAGTATCTATGTCTCTGTTCACCAAAACGGAAAAAGAAGACGAAGTAATGCTTCTCTTTTTCTTTCTCAATATAAATGGTGAACGCCTTGACACATAAGAGAAAGAGGTTATCAATACAACTACCCATACTACTATGCATCGTCATCTCGCTATACCTCTCTCATTGTATATAATGATCGTATGTTTGTTCAACACACTATGTGTTCTCAATTACGACACAATTTTCCATCCAATCGATCGAATATATTTCTTGTCAGACGAAACTTTTCAAAGACTTCAATCCATCAGACACAATTGTATATTTTTTTTTAAATAATATCAGTCAAAATGATTGTTTTACAAACATTCATGCATTTCTTAAATTTCTTCATACATATATATATATATAGTATCTCAATAGTATCTGTTGTAATTCATATACATATATATATATGTCCGTCGATATGAGTCGATCCCATTTTGATCCGTAAAATGGATATCAAATGGCCGACTTCAAATGCTCATATTGCATATACTTACAAAGTTCGATACGAATTTATGATCTTTCATAAAGATAATTACAAATATTCAAACTATTGAAAAAGAAAAAAGATATCTAAAACGATAATTCTAAATCAGACGACATCTATTGAAATGTCATTATATATTTATTTAGAATGAAAGAAAAGTTTTTTTAATTATTTCCAATCACTAGTATATATCGTTTTTTTTTGTTTCTTTGTATTTTGATCAACATTTTTACCTTCAACGAACGAACTTTTTTTTCTCATTAATACAAAAAAGAAAAAAAACGAAACTATTTTATCATGATTAGTACTGAGAATAAAAGAAAGATAACCTTGTCTTGTATACCATTTATTCTCAAATAAAATCATATCCTTTCGAAACACTTTTATCAAGGGTAAATTATAACAAAAAAAAAGTTTCTACTACGTTTATCGTGAGATATTATCGACTGACAAACAATGAAATATATATCGTTTCTTCCTTTTCTTCATCCCTTATAATTTACACTCTAATGATAATATAGTAACGTGCAAGAATACATATTTTACTCATTTATATATATTTTACATTTCAACATTGTATATGTTTCATATATGAAAAGGCGAAGAACATATTTCATTTTATTATTATCGATATCTCACATCATCATAATCATCGCTCGATCATACCGAAGCCAAACGACTATTACTACCCTTGTATATATGTATCTTATGAGAATGTTGAAATGTAGTTATACGTAGAACACACAAACATATATTATATATATATCGGTTGTAGCAAAGAATGCATACAGTCATTGCGAGAGAGAACAAATCAGTAAAATATATCGGTCGACTAGCGCCTCCAGATGTGTGTGCATGTCTAATTCTGGCCGCTACTCTTAAATGATCAAAGTAAGTAACTGCTTGACTATCGGACAATATGTGCGTGACTAAAACTATGTCCGATCAATCAGTAGACACAATCCGTTTCGACTCAATTATCGCTTTATCTTATGTTGATAAATTTAGTTCAAGTAATAGTAAATAAAAGAATTCAACAATTTCGAAAACAACATCGATACTAATGTCCTTTTTCAATTATACTTTAATTTAACCTTCAGTCAACTAGTGATTCTATGCAAAAGCATCAATTGTTTGAAACAATTCGTTTCGGAGAATAAACAAATAACAAAATTGCATATATATACATGTATATATATATATATATATATGTCTATGATGAATTAAAATAAAACGAAAAGAAAACAGATGAAAGAATCTCACAAACACAAAAAATTGTCCTTGATAGGTAATCTCAGTGAAGAAAAAAAATAAGAAAAGAAAAATCTATAAAAGAATTCTTTTTTTTGTCTACCTGTATACAAATGATTGTTAATGGATGGTGAATTTTGTTTAACAAAAGATGTGTCGTTCAATGTCGTTTCAGGACTACTCGACGTATGAGTATTTTCATTTTTATTTGCTGTTGATATCGTCGTTTTTGGATGAAATATTTTACGAAATTTTCGCATCATAATTATCGTTGTCGTCGTTTATTTGACGACAGGTCAAACATCAAAGAAGAATGATATCATGACGACCAATACAATAGTTCAAGAGACGAGTAGCACCAGTGACGTCTGGCTGATGAGAAGGTTGATGAAGAACAAGCGCGGCGGAGAAGAAGAAGAAGAAGGAGAAAAACGAACCTCTTTTTTTGTCTCTCTTCCCTTCTTTCTTTCTCTCTTCTTTCTTCCGTATGTGATGTATGTGTGCGAGTCGAGTAGAGAGTATTTTCGTTCTTTTTTTTTGCGTTGTAAGGTAGAGAATGGTTGTGGTTGTTGCAACTACTGACACCACAAAAGGAGACGTAGAATATGATGACGACAAAAAGAAAAGAGCACAAATGTATACAAAAAACGAGATAAATAAATATCTCAGTTGTTGTTATAAAAAAAAAAAGCTAAAAATAACTAAATTTAAGATAACAAAAAAGCATATGTATATTAAAATCTAGGTAACTAATTATTCATTTTCACATGAATTGTTTAAGAACTGCATTCGAAAGAAAGCAAGAAAAAAATCCGAATTAATATAATTCAGTCTGAGAATGCAATCGAGCATAGATGAGTGACGAACGATAATCACTTCATTCGCCTATTCGTTTTGTCGCCTAATCGGATCTTTCTCATGTATACAATACTAATGATGATACATTAACGCGCCCTCCAACCTCGTTCTCACTATGAGCACTAATCACAATAAGAGTGAAAAAAAAAGAGAAAAAGTCAGACAATGAACATACGTTAGTGCTCAATCTACCGAATGCGAACACCGGAATGGCTAATTTATACGTTGACTGCTAGTGACCACACATACACCCACCCATACATCTCTATACATAGTATGATATATATATATATATATATATAAATATATATGAGTGTGCGTGTTGTTGTAGGTTGGTCTCATAAGGGTCATTCATCTCGTTCTTTCTGCTGCAGTGTGTCATCGAATCAACCAGTAAAATTTTTCTTCAGGTACTTTATATCGATTACTTTCAACGACGTACATACTCTACATCTGATATCAATATAAAGTATATCTTTGTGCATGTCTGCAAATAAACTGCGACTAGTAGTAATACGTCAACCTTGATCTATATGTATATATTGAAGGTAAAAAAGACATCGATCACTACAAATAATATTGATCTTTCAGGTTTCTTCTCATTGAATAGAAGACAACAACAACAACAACAAAATCTAATAATTTTATCATATAGCCTTTAGAATTCTGTAGTTGCTTTATATATAATTTTTCTCTCCCTCTTTCTTGCTTCAATTGTACTAAAAGTTCAAGGTTTAACACTTAACAAATACATAGAAAAGAAGTGTACATCTATTAAATGCCTTTTTTTTCTTTTCTTTTCACACTTCAATTTTAAAACAATGAAAAAAAAGAAGTCTCGTGCAATCAATTGATTACTACACATTTTCTTTTTCGTTTCTTTTTTTTAACAAATAAATCAACTAAAATGAACATGTTTCTTTTTTTTTTTAATAACTTGTTTGTTCATTTGTTGACGTTTCTCACGACGAGTTAATTTTGGTTTTCGTCTACTTGTCTTTTTAATATGTTTATCATAACGACGTGATCTTTGAGCATATGTACGTTCACGATCAAGTTCCCATTTAATTTGTTTCATTTCTAATTAAAATCAAATCATGCGAAAAAAATAATAATAATAAATAAAATTTTTATACCTCGTTCATTATCAACTTTAAAATTATCATGAATATGTTGATAACTATTTGTATCATGTTCATTATCATCAAGTTGTTCATCATCGGATAATTCATCACCATCGTTTAATGTAAATGGACGATGATTCATATCATCATCATCATCATCATCCTCTTTTAGTTCATCATCATCATGGCGATGAACACGTTGAACAGTACTAGAAAAAAAAAGTTTCATAGAAAGAAAAAGAGAACATCAAATAATTGTGACAAACCTTGCAATGTCTTGGACACTATTATTATCATCTTCATCAAGATCAATTTCGTCTTTATCCATATCGCCCATAAAATGGTCTAATGAGCATAAAAACAAAAAATATAGAAGTGTACAATGATTTGTTATCATGAGCAACAAGATTAAGGTCATGCATGAATAGTTTATGCTATTTAGTATGGTTAATTATTTGTAAAAAAAGAAAAGAAACCATTGGATTTATATACTAATTATGATCTATGAAATCTTCTTGAGTTTTTTCTTTTGATAAGTTGTTGATCAAATTATTTATATAATTTCTGAAGTGCAATTTCCATATTATAATAAAACAGTATCAATGACATCAGAAACGAAATATTGATGATTATGCTGATACTATCGTTAATATGGTAGAGTATTTTTTCTTTTTACATGCTCAGAATAACAATTGCATCATGTCATTTTACTATTCGCGATATACGTAAAGTTATAGTATTATGTAAATTTATTGGTACATGTTTGTTGTCGTGACAGTGATAAGATTTTTTTTTTCTTTTTGTGATAATTATCTCTGATGTATCAATTGCTAGATTTTTCTTTAATATTATACTTCCCATTAAAGTTGAATCGATGTTTAAAGTACTGAACAATGTTCATATTGTCACAATAACATATCAAATTCTCAATATCGCTTACTATTAAATATGTATCAGAAATTGAAGTAGGCTTATTTTTTCGTAGGCTTGCTTCATTCATCAAAGACTAAACATTTTTTGCTTGCATGTACCTGTTATCTGATTTCATCGGCGTGACCTGTCTGTCTATTTTTCTTTCATAATAATAGTATAATAATAGCTGCGTGAGAAGTTAAAGACTATCTTGATAAAAAAAAAGGCAAAGAAGCCAGATATACTGAAATGCCATGATTATACCGAGCATATATTGATGTATATGCAAAATGTCTCTATCGAGCATAGAAGAACGAAGAAAATATTAACATTTAGAAAAAAAAACTCTTTGTTTTAGAAAAAAAGCATATTTTAAATGAATCGGATAAAAGAATACAAAGAAACATATTAACTTCTTCCCTATTAAGACAATATAATTATAAATATAAATCAAATAACAATAAGAATTATTCTACGATTTATGTAACATAATAAGAACAGAAACTGATTAAAATGTATGAAAAGTAACTTAAATAAGCTAAAAAATCATTTTTCATCTTCTAGTGGTACAGTTACTTCACTGTTTACTTTAATATTTACTTTTTCTGCTCAAAAACGATGTCTTTTATTTGATGTTTACATAAAAAAATTACAAGAAGACTCCATAGTCGATTCATAACTCTAATATGTATCAAGACTGAAATAAAGTTTAGCAAAGAACCATTCGGATTCTAAATAAACGACGCTCATATTTTAATTGACAAACGAGAACTTCGATCGATACTCAAGCTCTCTTTCTCTCTCTGTTCGTTTCTACTAACAGATCAATGAAGTGCAAATAAGTAGTTTTGCAATGAATCATAGAAACCTTACAGAAGAAAAAATAATAATAACTACTCCTTCAACTCAATATATACATATTTACTTTCGAACTTTCACTGCTCTTTTATGAAAATAGACGAATTTTTTTTTTCGCTGATACTAGACTCATTTAATCTTGAGTGCTACTTTAGATTTTCAATGTGTCCATTTTTTGATTATTGTACAAAAAAAAAGAAAGGATTCATTTGAAAAGATACTTTCAACTACAAATCTCAACAGTTTTTCTTCTTTTAATATTATATATTTAGTTATTTTTTAAACTTTAACTTACTTAAATATTTATCGAATTCATCATCGGATACACTTGAAATACTTTCATTATCATCAATATCTTCGTCGGATAGTTTTTGTTTCTTGTTATCTTGTGCTAATTCACTATTTTCTTGTCGCATTTTCATAAATCTAAATATCAAAATTTAATTATTTGTTTTTTCTTAATTTACAAATTATTAACATACGTATATAGAAAACGTTCATCGGCTGGAATATGAGCTGGATTTAATCGTGTATATTCATTGCTATCAACAGCTACTGCTTTAACACCTTTAGGTAAATAAAGTCGACCAGCAGCATGACGAGATTTTTTTCTTAAAAGTTCTAATCAAATGAAACAATAATCTAATTCTGATGAATCAAAATGTTTTTAATTTACCATGCTTCGTAATTTGTTTTTTTGGATTTTTATAAACGAAACGATCAAAAAAACGCATTGAATTAAAATCAACCAATGGATTGCCATTATAATCAATAGATTTTCCCTAAATAAAAATCTATTAGTGTAATTCTTACGAGATTAAAATGTGAAACACAATATAGCTGACTTTGATAATCTCAAGAAAATTATTTTATTCTATCTATTTTAAGATACATTTTTTCACCATGGTTTTACTTAATTCTCCAGAAATATGATAGAGAAGTAATTTATATAATTATATATATATATATTGTAAGAAAACGTTATTGATATGTAGTCTGTCATCATATATCAACATGTAGAAGACGAGGGTGTGTTACTAAGTTATCTGTTACGGTCTGTGAAGGTCTCTGATAATTGTATGTCATGACGTTTGATGGTTTAGGACAGTCGTCTGTCATCTAAATTTTGACTCCAGTACTTTAACACTTTTCCTAGATCAGATTATACAAAATTATTAAAAAATTCTTACATCGAAAAGATTTTGAGCAAATAATGCCACTGTTGGATGAGAATGGTTTTTAAGAAATATTAATTCATGTAAACATGTATAATCACTACCACAATATAATGGATTACGTTTATATATATCATAATGATTCAAATGATTTTGATTTGTTTTATTTAAATTTTTATGATTCCATGAAGAAACTTCTGGCACAATTTGTAATGGTTGATCATCTTCACTAACAACATCATGAAAATGTTCTTCTTCATCATCGTCTTCTGTTGTTTTATCATTTTCTAATGATAGAAGATTAGTTTTTTGAGAAAATAAAAGTAAACGTTGACCACTAGCATGTCGTTTAACAATTTCAGATATAAGTAAAAGTATACCACAAATAAATGGTACATCATTAAAAAGACATAATTGTAATAAACGTTTAATAAATGCCTATAAGAATAATATTTTTTTTTTGTTCTATAAAACATATGAAACTAACCCGTATGCGAGATTCCATGGAATCTTTTAACATAGATTTAAATATAAGATTAAGAAATGTTGAAAGCATTTTAGAATTTTTCCATTCTGGTTCAGACAGTTTTTTATATAATGCATTGTAATATCGTTCATCGATTTCTGATCTTAATAAATCGAAGCAAATTAATGTTCTATAGTTTTCTTTTTTGAATAAATACATATATTTACCGTTGTTCAACAATACGAAAAAGTAATTGTAATGCTCGAACACTTGTTTTAAAATTTGTTGAATGAACAATACGAAATAAATCATTGAGATGTTCAATTATATTATCCAGATCAACTAAAATTTCCAATTGAAATAAATTTTCTCATAAGGTAAAGAAAAAGGAAAAGAATACTGCTTCTTATCACTATGAGTTATTCCTTAATATTGAGCATCTATTATATCTATTTTAATGCTAATAAACAATATTCACTTGAGTTATAATCGATTATTATACGCCTCCAGATATGAAAAGCTCGACAAAAGAAGGTTCGATATAAAATGTTATTGAAGACTATTACTGTAGACAGAAGATCAGAAATATTTTGAAAATATAGTGTTTCCGTGTAATACTTAATTAAAAATGTTGATTTTAAGAGTTTCAGAAGAATATTGATAACATGACAACGAAAGTGTTTGAGAAGGTCAACCTTGACTTTTATATGGTTTGATAAAGTTATCTGGCCTCTTTCAAATACTGAAAACTGCAGAGTGCTAGTTATTTCTATGTTCGAGAGATTCACGATGCAACTAAGTCAATTGACTTTTTCAATGAATACTAGTTATGGTAATTTAACAAAGGACTAGACGTTTGAAAAAAATGTCATAATGATGTACTCATATGCAATTCTATTCAAGTTTGCTTCCTCAATCGATAAATTACTACATTGTTTCATAAAACTGATCGAAATTTTAATTAAAAGAGTATATGCACATTGATGACATTTCTAATAGTTTATTTAAGCAGATAAATGACCAGCTGAGAAAAGAAAAATTAGATTGGTATGATATAATCAAATAAACAAACGTTTCGCGACGGGTGTTTCCTATATAGGATGGTGACATTTTTCCTTTTGATATAGGTATCCGATTGCACTTGACGGCTTCTGTATATTATAATGAGAGACAAATTAACGACGATGACGGTTAGGCAACATAGACGCAATTTTAGTACATGACCTTGAACGCTCATCCATTAAGTTTAGGGCTTGTGTATTTCTGCATTCTTTCGTCTTTCTTTTCTTTTTCAAGTTTTACAGTATTGCACCTATCAAACACGAATTTTGCATATATTTGCTTTCGTTCTGTTTTTACACATGAAAAGACACATGTCATATGTCTTCTGATTTACCCGCGCATATTTATTTTTATACTGTTCTATCGCGTATATTGATCATTATCTATGTTATGAAGAGCAGAATCGACAAGATACTGGAATTTCCAGACACACAAGCTTTTTACAGACTGTAATAAAGACTATTCGTCCATTAAATATGAATAAGTTTTCGCTACAAGTAATCCTTTCATGAAAGGGCTAAAAAAAACTGCACTATTGTATAACTTATTATACCGATAAGAGCTCTAAAAGGTCTATGGATAGAAGGTTATCAACGTTTTTTAGTCTGGCCTGTACCTGTCATTTGTATTCGTCGATCTAGTCTAGTTATCTATGTATTATCTTTTATATACTAATATTATAATGATAATTGTATAAAAACAGAAGACTATCGTTGAAAAAGGCTAAAGAAGACACACATACTAACATGACATGACAAGAATAGATGAAAGATTTGTTGATATGAAAACAGCATGTCTCGGTCGAAAGCAGACGAACGAAAAGCATATTAATATTTGAAAAAAAGACTTTTGTTTTTGAATACGAACATTTTAAATGAATAAAATAACAGGGACACAAGAATCACTCGACGATTTATGTAACATAATTCTAATAAAAGCCGAGTAGAAAGTGTAAATAGGAACTTATATAAATTATTTCTCATCTTACAATGGCATTGATACTTCATTGAATATTTTGATGTGTACATTTCCTGTTTAGGATTCGAATATTTCAATCCGACAGATTCTACTTGTGATATCGACTTTTTAAGCTTAAATGATTTATTGTTAGTGTTAATTTCACTAGTCTAACTAACGAATACAAATTAATGTAGAAAATTATCCAGAATATAACAACAAGAAACTATTTATTATTCTATTTAGACTAACAGAACAATTATCTTCTGATTTAACTTTTCCAAAAAGCGAATTTCAAGTTAATTCTTTCCTTCGAAATCCGATCATAGATTAGATACATTCAAATCACATGAAATTTTCAACCGTATATCGTAATGTTCTCGGAAGATACTCATCATACAGGAGTTCAAAATAGCTCATTTGACAAGTCGAAAGTCTCTGTGGATCTTCATTCTATAGGTTTAGTTATCTTTAATTTGAAAGAGAATGTTAGATTACAGTGTCCCTGTTCTTGAATTCTTACATGTTATGCGAAGGAAAAGGATGGCAAGTTCAATACGTCCAAAAAACTTTCTATTCATCATTCATTCAAAGAAGTATTTTTTTTTTTTAATATGACAATAAAAAGTTTGAATTCCGAAAAAAACGGGCTCTACCACTTCATATGCTCTTTCAGGCGAAATTTTCTTCAAGAATTATGTAATGTACTATCAGAAAAGTGTATTTATTAAGCAGAAGATGATGAAACTCATCAAAAATTTTGGCAAAAAACGAGATGCCAAATAAAATTTATTCGATAGGACTTAATTCTAATGAGGACTTTGTGGTATATCTTCTCTTAAATTATAATCGAACACCAAAAAATAGTTCGAAAATTTCTAAAAAATTTTAATCTATCACTACACAAATGTTTTCCTATTTTTGCTATTGGTTTATTTACCTTTAGCAAATGAAATAGCACGAGTCACACCACCAAGAAGTATTGCAAAAAATTTTGAACTAACATTTTCTTTGACACTAAATAGCTATAATCAAATAAAAAAAATTTCTATAAAAAAAATAAAATTTTTCTTTTAATTTTACCCGAAATAAAGCAAAATATATTTTAATCAGTTTATTAGCTAAATCATTATCTTGACTTGTAAATATTATTGCTGTTAAACAACATAAACCATAATGTCTATAATTGAATAATTTATAAAACACAATGAAAAATTGTATTTTTTTCACTTATCATACTGTGCACTTTGACGAATATTTTGTCGAAAAAGAAGTCGTTCAATTTCATTGACAACAACAGTTTTCATACCCGGATGTTTTTCCACTGTTAAATAATAATTTTAGAAGACAAAACCAAAATATTTTTTTTTTAATTTTCTTACAAAGTTGATTGAGTAAATGAAGAGTTTTCGCAGCAACATTTGAATCCGGATCACCTAGTTTATCAACGATTAATTCAAGTAATCGTTTTTCTTGTTCAGGTCGTTGAGATAGTAAACGTTCAAGCATTGATATTGCTTTTATACGTATTTGACCGATTGGATCATGAGCTATTTGCTAAAAAAAAAACAGTTCAATCGACATTATCGAATAGAACAGGGGCAAATAAGGGCCTGTTTTTGTTCACTTATTTTTTTTTCTCACAAAGAAATAATAAAATTACTAGATTACGTAGCACTTAAGCTGGTGAATCTATCCTTGTATTAATGTTGCCGCGATGTCTTACATTAGAGGTGCAGATGAAATCACAAGCTGATGAGCTCATATATAGTGTCATCAATAGAGCATGACTTGAACTGCATTTCGATACTAAAACATCAAATAAATAATACTTCGTTGGGCCAAGAATACACAAGAAAGAACATTTGTGCAATCGAAAGTGAGAGATTTATGACCATTAGCCAATCTTGGGAGCCTCATATGTCAGAAAATAAAAATGAACATATTGCCAAAATTTCCGCTAGTAGAATGCATGACAAGCCATAAGAAAATGTGTGTTATGTTCAAAAAGAAGTATGTTTCCTTATTTGAAGTCAAGAAACCTTTTCCTCAGACATATAAAAGTGGCTATATTTTTATTGAACCCTGCGGAGGATTAGGGTTGAAGTTTTCGATGAAAATAAAAGCTGTCTAAACAATACGAAACATATATAGGTTGAATCATTTTTTGATGTTGGTTCCAAATCTATTAGTTGTTCTGACTAAAAAAAAGTAAAAAATTTGACAAAATCTGGCTGATATTAGTCAAAAATGGCCACTTTGATCTTTTTGAAGACAAGAGTCTTGATTTCGAACATGTGACTATATTTTTCTCGAACAAATTAAACATGTTCTTGTAGCTCGCCATGCATTCTACTAGCACAGAAGTTTTGGCAACATTTCCATTTTTAGACACATAAGGCTTCTAAGATTGGCTAATGGTCGTAAGTCTATCGATTCGGACTGCTCAAATGCTCTTGTCCGTCCATTCTCAGCTCAACGAAAGTTCATTCATTAAACATTTTTGTACCGAACTGCTGCTCAAGTCATGCTCTATTGATCATACTGTGAGCAAGTTTATTGATTTATGACCCTATTTCAGAAGAAGAGTCTGTTCTCTTAATTCACAACTCGTTGCAATCTTCTGATAATTGTCAAGTTTGTAAGTGACATAAGTATTCCTAATTGAAGACTTCGTGGCAACATCAATATACGGTTAGATTTACCACCTTATGCGCTACAAAACCTGACAATTTTTATGTTTTCTTCTGATAAAAAAAATAAGTGAACCAAAACATGTTTTTATGCGTCCTCAACCCTTCAATTATTCATAACATACTTGAAGTAAATCAATAAAATTTGAATAAAGTTGTTTAATTGTTTCTTCAACAAATGCAAGTGCAGCCGTTTGCTTTGTAATCGGTTGATTTGGTAGTTGATTAATGAAAAATAAACGACGATTTTCTGGTAAATAAATATTAATAAAAACATCTTCAAGAATCTCAGCTATTGTTAATGCATCACGACGATGTTGAATATTAGATCGTAGGAGATTAACCAAGTTTTCTAGTTCTTTGATAGAATGAATTGGTGAACGACGAATTAATGTAACTAGAGCAGCAAGACGATCCTAAGAAAAATTATTGAAATATAAAAGAATGAATTATTTTTCAATGAAATAAATACTCTTACTTTAGATGTGGTTGAAAGTGATGTTTGTAACCATTGATAATCAGATGATTGATCTTGTTGATAGAGTTTTCGATAGAGATCACATTCTAATCGATAGATTTCTTGACATTTTTCTTTATCATGTTTATCATTGATGTTTTTTGATGATGAAAAAAGTGTGGTGGAGTTTTCAAGCGAATACCATTTAGGTATATCTTTGCCTACTTTGAAAAGAAGTTCCGATTTATTTGGAACAGAGCTTTGTGATCTTGATTTTTTCGTTTTTGCGACCATCTATCAATATTTAAGAAAAATTTAGAACTATATCTTCAGAAAAAAAAAGAATATTGTATGCAATAAAACCAATGAATACATGTTCACGAGGATCAAAGAACTATTGGTTGTGGAGAATATTCTAGTATCATATAATGTTATAGATGTCACTTATGTACAATTCGGTTCTTGTCTTCAAAATAATATTTCGATAGTTGTTCGTGCTGAAGTAAATAGTTGGGTTACTAGAAAATGTATTGATTTTTCTCACGCCGGCCAGAGCTGTCAGCTTAGCCAGATGACTTCAAGGTGTCAGACGTTCGTGACCGATAACTCATTTCAAATTCTTGAGAGTATGTGCGAGTACAGATGTGATTGTTAGTGTGGCTAGGTGTGAACCTTGATTTCACCCACACCTGCTCTATCATTGATTCATCAAGTGCACAATCACGCTTTAATGTACTAATTTGTTGATTCAGGGACACAAATAAAGTCCAAACATTATGTGGGCGAGGAAGGGGTAGGACGATGTGTGAGATGAAAGTATATATTTGTCTCGCGGCGTGAAACCTTTAAAAAGAGAGGAGTAGGGAATATTTTAGTCGAGAACTATACCGGAGCTGTCTTTTAAAAATTTCTTCAAACTCGAGTCGGTGAATCATCAGAAACATGCTCAAGTTCTCAAACCTTTTTCATGCATCTGGATCCTTTAAGACTTGAGATTAAAGATTCCTATATATCTATATCTATATCTCAATGAGAAACAAACGGGAATTATAGTGCATCGAGCAAAGTTTATTCTCTGATGGAGTTTTCCAATCTTCAATAGGTTGATCATTTTAAATACTTTATTGAAATTCATATCGGCATGTTGACTATATTGAATCTGTCTGTGCGTGCCCTACACGCATAAGAAGAAGAAGACTGTTGAGACATAACATCTTCACGATCGATGAATAAGTTCCTGATCCATAATCAACAAGAGATATTTTGAAATAGCTCGTACATTTTTGTTGCCTTCGGTTTTCGAAGAGACAGTGTAACATTGAAGCTAAACTGAAGTAGAATGAGATTGCAAACATAGGCGAAGCCAACTTGCATATTTTCTTCTGTCCATCAAAAAATAAGTACAAATAAATTTTTGCATGAATTCTATCTTCTGAAGGTTTTAGATAAACTTATACTGGCTATAGTGACTTAAAAGAACAAGGTGAATGAAAGTGTTAGAAGAAATGATTCATTTATGCTGCGGTGCGTTTTCTGATCGAGATACAAATAAAGCCAAATCAACTTCTTGACTGCATATGCCACCGGAATAGGAACTGAGAAAAAAAGTTTTTTTTTGTACCCGAACGGCTATATAATCGCTATATGTAGGAAAAAAATGCTCTCGGCTAACTTCACCATATTGATCGACAAAAAAAAACGTCGATTTATATGTGCATGCATAGTGAATGAAGGAGAAAATACATCGCAAAATGTGTTGTGAGGTAGGGATCAGCACAGACGAGAATAAATGTTATAAGCAGCTATTTCCTTTTTATTTTTCGATCGCTTCGCTAAGTTCTCTTCCGACAATGCACACGATGTTCGAGGCCGTTGAAATATAAAAAAGAAAAAATTAAAATCACTCTTTCACTAACTCGCACGGATAGAAAAGCAGCCAGCAATCAAATCATCATTCGGGCATTATGGCTAAGTCATCGCACCAAACCATAGTCGAACAGTTTGCTAAGGCCGTCAGTGGTCGTCAAGTAAATCAGCTCGATAGCTTTCTCGAAGCTGATGTTCAAAAAACAACCGATTCGAAAATTATCTACAAAAATATTCAGGAAGCCCAAGATTATTATAGCAAGGAAAGCTCATCACAGTGGAAAATATTGGAGTTTATCGAGGATGACCAAAATGGTAATACAATGCAAACTCGAGTCAGCCATGATGATAAAATATACAAAACGTCGTACACGTTTGGCTCATCTGGAAAAATTCATCGTATCGATACTGTTCTTGAGAACAAATAGAATACGAATGATAGTTACGTCAATAAATGACCACAAAAGACATTTGAGTATTTTTATTCTAGCTATTCAGCTTCTTATATTTATAATAACTCTTTCTTCCTGTTCTCCTTTCAATAAATAACTTAAGTGCATCTTACCAACTTTAGGCACGTTTAATATGTTCTGTTATTCTCATAAAATCAAGAAACAGTATTATTTTTATATATGTTACTAGAGAACAGTATAAAAAAATTCCACTCGTACAGAAGCAAATTAAATAAGTGACATTTATTAGATATCTCCAAGAAATATCCATTGAACTTGTTATGGATAGTTTTTCATCATCTTAACTTCTATACTAATGAAGAAACCATCAGCAATGATGTATGCTTTATAGAAAAAAGCCTCAACAAATTTAAGCGAGTTTAAAATATAAAAAGAGAAAAGAAATAAAATCTGTTCAATGATTGGAAGTCAGGATATTTTCTTGTTAAGAATTCAGAATAGTTGTACACATGTGATCAACCAAGTGAGATCATCAAATGTTGTCGCAATATCCTTACTTATTTCATAAATTGTGCCATTCATCATTGTTACCGGAACCATCTGCATATAAAAAAACATAATTTTCTCTTCGTTACACAAAACAGTAATTCATGAAAATTTATTTATTTTCCAGTGAGATGACTTTGTTGAATGCATAGTGTGCCCTTACGACATTTGTATCGACGAAAAAAGCCTTTAATGAACATATATTAGTTCGCCCACACATTTTCTCGACTAAGACAATATTTATAGTCATCGGATTGACGATGAAATAGGAAAAAATTGCTTTTATCTTCACATGAAAAACTTGAACATTCACTTGACTAGTAAATTTGAGATAAATGTGAACATGAACTAAAGATATATTTGAGGCCTGCTATCATGCCGTTTGAATTCTTACAAGTTCGATGATAAAATATTCTGAACATTTCATGAACCGAGCTGTTAAGTTCCATTAATTTTAATAAACTATTATTGTTTCTAGAAATTTATACACATAGCATCTGATCATAACAGATCATTTCTGATTGGATATCATTGTTGATTAAGAATACATGTAACAATAAGGTGAATATTAATGGTGATATTTGTTTGCAGTAAATATGGTTGGTTTCTTTGAGAACAACATGCCCTTTTACCTTCAAAATTCTGTCCATCATAACAAAAGTCATCACGAGAACTAAGAGCACAGAATCAATAGATCTTCGTCGTCTGTGTCGACAATAGTCTAGTAACGTTTTCTTTTGTCATAAGTATTGTATTCCCTCATCGAAAAAACTCTTACGTCAAGTCTTAAAAGACTTATGAAACCTTATTCATTTTCATGAAGCTTCGATAGAAAACTTGCGGAACTGTTTTATACTGAATTCCGAACAGATTTTCACAGCGAATCTTAACGGATTTCTAATCAATCGGACGCTTTCCTATGGTAGGTCCTATAATGAAGAAATCTTTTTCTGAAGACTTTTTACAATTTTTATATTGAAAAAGGAAAATCAAAGTGCTAATTGGTTTAAAAGACTTCCGAAGAGATATTATTCAAAAATTTATAAGTGTTTTTTTTGTTGAAAATTCCATTTTATAGATATTTTTGAAGAAAAATAATTATAGTTGATCATTTCAATTTATCATTATAATTAAAGATATTTTGTAGTTTCTGAAAGTTTTCTATCATTCATTATAATGATGTTGCCCTTATTTATTAGCAAATGTATTAGATACAATGAAAGCACCTTTATGAACAGATTTTTACGAATTACTTTTTTTTTTTTATTACTCACCCAATGAACTTTTTTAATATATATTATCATTATAGAAACCATTAAAAAATAATTAACTATATAAAAGGTAGCCAAAAATGACTTGATCGACAAAAAATTGAACATATCTATTACGACTCAAGCAAACTCGCTGATTTTCTTTTCAATAATAGAGGCATGTTCACACTTGAAATCTATATAGACAAAGCTAGAGAGAGCCTTTGCTAACTACTACTATTGACGTCAAGAAAAAAATTTTACTTTTCATATATAGAACAAAAATCATGTACTATGAAGAAGAACCAGTTTATCAAAATAAAATATAAATAATCAATGATTTCTTTCCTGTTACTCGCTGTTCATTCATACATCTTTTTTCTTCTTTCACTCTACCATAGTTCACATAGTTAGTCTGTGCGAAGCTGCTGGTTATATTCGTGTAATATGTGTCTACTTGGTTTTGTATTTTTTCCATCCAACCTACCTGCGTCTGTTTCTCATTTATTATCATATAGTCAGTGTGTAACTCTGTTTGAGATCTCACGTGTTTGCAAATGCAGAGATAGGATAGAAAAAAACACAAAACCAAATAGTCTTTGTAAACTTTTTATGAATCATCACGTTGGTAGATTTTAATAAACTATCAGGTGTGAGTAGAGATGGAAATGTTCACCTACACCCTAATTTTTCTGATCTTGCTCGGTTTCAGTATCCGGAACAATTTAGTTAGAGTTACTGTTTCATGTTCAACTGAACGACACTAATTTGTCCATACTACGATGTACACGTTTTTCTGTTTGATAACACTGACAGAGACGAGACGTAACGAGAATAGAACTTGCATTGCAGTAGAAAAAAACAGAGCTGATGACAAGAGAAGCATGGAAAAATTATGCTTACTGTCCATCATTACTCGCTTTGCTGTAAAGAAAGAGCAAAATCATCGTTCTGATACCTCTTGTCTTTTGTTCTACATCGAGAGTGTATTAATTGTGTTTCCAATTTTCTGTTCACGAATGACTTATCTTTTGTATAGAACTGGCATGCTCAGTAGTCTCGTGCTCTAGCATGTGATTTTTGTAAAAGCTCTGTCGATTTGTACGAAATATGTTTTTATTCAATGATTTAAGTTTTTACACAATTAATCGATGAAACTGTATACGTCTAATTTTACAGACGACCACACTATTGATATTGCATTAAAAATCAAAATGTG